GTTTCCTTTTTTGATTCACATTTCCATTTACCTAGCCTATAAAATTTCATTGTATGCATTTTATGCTCTAGTCTTTATTATCTTCTCAGACTACTCTTCAATGACATATAAAAATTTAAATTCAAACTTCTACAAAATATCTGAAATAAAATACTAAGTGTTAAAATTATCCCTCCAGAAGTAAATCTTAGATATTACTGTAATACATTACTGATCAAAACAAAATTATGTATTTTAATAATCACCAAGTATAAAATGTACTGGAATTGTACCTTATGATAAATTCAAAATATCTATGAATTAATATGACTTGTCAGAAAGTGCAAGGACAGAGTTTCAGGGTTCTAGTCCTACTTTCATTTTTCTTATAAACAGGAGACACTTAATTTACATAAAGAAGTGAAGAGACTAGGAACTGTTACAGTAAAATTAGTAAATTCTTTAAATTTCTTCAGGATTATATGCTAAAGAATCACTTAATTGCCTATCATCAAATAGTATTTTATTAATACCATGGTAGCCAATTCAATTAGGTTTCAAACTTTAAAACCTAAAAATGACTTGTTAGGACATCATTCTAGTTACTAATTTTCTCAACTCAGGTTGTGTATACAAAAAAAAGAAACCATAAAGATTCATCATTTTCTTTCAGTCTGAGCCTCTTGTTTATGGCAGGACAATACAATAACTGAGAAAAATGAAATACTGCTAATTGTAAGGTGCCTTTGCCATTTAAAAAGTTTAAATGTTTTTATCCTTTACAAGTTTTAAATGTATTTCTGAAAACAAAGCAAAACAAAAATAAAAATCAAACTTTAGAGGCAAAGATATAGTTTACTTAAGGAGAAACATCTGCCAGGCTAGATAAATGGCAAAGCCAATTGTTAATGCCAAGCCACTTTTTCAGGAAAGTATGACTATTGGACTGCCCATGTTCATTTCGGAATTCTAACTCTAAAAATAGAAATAAGCCACAGAAGTTGAGAGGAGCATGTTGTCTGGATGAAACAAAGAACTTTGGCAGTAAGTGCTTCTCTTTGATTCTTTTTGCTTTGCTCTCAACTCAGCAACAATATTCTTTATTAATACTAATAATAAGGCCATCTAATACGAATTTTTATCACTGTGGGAATTTAGAACACTACAACACAAGGTAGTTTTATCCTGAGACATTACCCTTACCAGACTTATGTCTAAATGTAAAAGACTCTGAAACAGATTTTCTGTTATGGCCCATTCATGTCCTTATTCCCATAGTTAATCACTCTCCATATACTCTTGCACATGACAATGGCCTCAAACTCTTCCGCAAAGAGGAAGAGTTTGGATTTGGATTTACCCAAATCCAAAAGGAGAACCTCTCTCTTCTGAGATCCATTCTCGACCAACGACCAACCATTCCCAAAGAGACAAACTCCAGGCGATTCCCTGCATCACCTTTCTACAATATCCACTCTCTTTTCCTAACCTAGGAAATTCTTTTGGAACTTTCATGCCAAGTATTTTAAAATAAAAGTGTATTATTTGCTCTAGTTGATTTTCTTTCACATAAGACAGGTAAAGACAGAAAGTTCTAACTAATATCTTTAATTTGTAGGCTTTCCTAACATCAATAATACAAATTGATTTATTTTTCTGGATACCTAGTTGGATTTTCCATCTTTTCTTTTAGGCCAATAGGCCATAAAAATACTCACAAAACATGTTGTGTTAGGCCTGTAATGCCAAGCCTGTGGGAGGATGAGAGAAGATGATCTGAATTCAAGGCCAGCCTGGGCTTGATAGTGAGTTTAAGCCCAGGCTAGACCACAAGGAGATTCTGTTTCAAAAATCAAAAATAAAAGCAACACACAAAAAGCACAAATACACTTCCTTTTTTTTTTTTTTTAAATTAAAGCAGAAGGACAACTGTGAAGAGGATGTATGCAGGACAAGAGGTGTATTACTTTGCTACCCTGACAGCAAGATATTTGACAGGAAGAACAATTTAAGAAGGAAAAATAGAAGTTGTGATAAGAAACTGATTTCTTTATAATTCAAAGAGCACATTGGAAACTCCAATTTGAAAAGAGCTGGTTTAGTATGCCTAGTGCACAACCTATAATGAAAGAAATCACCTTGAACGGTGTTAATTCATAATATAGCACCTACAAAAATTATTAGATATCAAATAGTACAAATAAAAACATTCAAAGTGTTCAAAGAAATAAGTGTGTAAAAAATCAGCAGTAACAAGAAACTGTATAAAATGGCGAGATCAACTTGAAAACAAAAATGGAACATTTCACAATAAAAAATAAAAGCAGCAACTCAATAAATGACTTAAGCAATAGGATACACAGAGGATGTGAGAACAGGCCCCAGGAAATCACAGAATGCAGCAGTGACACAGAGTTGAAAAATATAAAGGAATTAAGAGACAAGGAAGTTAAAGGGAACACGTGTTGAAAACATTGAATCAAAACTGCACAAGAGAACAAAAATAAAAAAGCTGCATTATTTGAACAGCTAATAGTAATCTTCCAGAACTCATTAAAGACATCCATCTACAGAGAAAGGAAATCAAAGTCCTGTTTAAACAAGTGTGAGACAAGAAATCCCAGAAAATTAGAATGTAAATCATAAAAGAAGAAACTGATAAACTAGCTACAGTTTAAAATTGAGAATTTTTGAATAAGGTCTGCAAAGAGTTAAAATGAAACCTTGAACTAGAAAAAAACAACTGCAATGCATAAGAAAGGATAAATTATCTGTATTATGAAGAAGAGACAAACACTACAATAGAAAAGTGATCAAAAGCAATAAAAAGGCATTTCCAGACAGAATCACACAAAGTTAATTAACATATGAAAAGATATTGAACCTCATTAAGACTCAGAGAATTGCAAATATCACCCCAATGAGACCCTTTTACATCCACCAGATTGGCATAAATTAAGAGACCAATAACATCAAATACGGTAAGTACCCTAGTGTTCACTTGTGTCAAATTCTGCATGCACATCATACATGCATTTTCTTACATACATGTTTCATAGTAAAAATTTTATTAAGTGCCTAACTGGATTTTGCAGTAAGAAATGTTTGTCAATATCCTGAGGAGACCAATTTCAGTAAAATAAAGGCACAAACCAGACTGCAATGGACTGAAAGGCTCTACAGGATAGGCATGCAAAGACAGTGGTAGATGAGGAATTCAAGCTTACCTAGGTGGCTGGACAAAGGGCTGTAACTTTAGAGGAAATGTCATGGGCAGCACTTCTGTTTTTTCTTTTTAAAACTCTTAAAAGACTTTTTTTTTTTAAAAATTACAGTAAATGGACAAGGTTAGAAAGAAACAGCAAGAGAGACACAGTTAGATGACACAATAACAAGGACAATAGTGACACAAGAAAAAAAGGGTGGTAGGCAGCAATAAATGTATGTAACACACAGGCCATTAATAGGGATTGGTTTTAGAGGGGAACTAGTGGCTCACAAGAAATTACTCTTTTGTTCTTATAATAGCTCTACCTACTCCACTCACAATTATGTCCTTGTTCCTTCTTCAAGCAAATTTCAGGACTTTTATACTTTTATGTCCTCCATAAAGAATACGCTTTCCTGAATGCACACGAAGATTTCTCTTTCACCTCCTTTGCTCAAAGGTCAACTCAGCAAAATCCCCTTTTCCTGCCTTATTTCCTTCATTATCTTCTAATATTCTGTATAATATATATGCACAAATGTTTCTTTGTTTATTATCTGTTTAATTATTTATTATTTGCTTAATCATTAATCAAATAATTTGTTTAATTATTTAATTAATTGTAATTATTTATTATTTAATAATTTAATTGTTTAATTATTGTTTAATTCCCCTGCTTCCCCTGTATGTAAGCTCTATGAATATAGGAACTATAGCTACAGTAATATTTGGCACAAGCTAAAACCTCAGTAAATACGTGCTAAATTAATGGTGGTGCATGATGCTGTTAGGTAAGGCACAGAGTAAGAAAAGGAGACAACTACATTATATCTTGAGTCATGAGATTGGCAAGTACGGAAGAAGGCAAAAATTCTTGCACATTTGAGAAACGGAGTACATATGGAATATGGCAGGGATGACAATGATCACTTGTTAGTTAACCTCAGTATGTGCACAACAGAGTCTAGATTCTAAAAATCCCCCCAAGATTGATAGTTCAACCACTTGTTTTTATTTACGGCAAAGACTGAATATACATAAAAACGAAGTTTACACAGAAATCGCCGGCACTAAGCTCCTAAAATACTATAAAGCAAAATATGAATGAACATAACCCTGTTTGAATAAACAACCTGTTTTCTAACCAACTTTAGATTACATGTACAACAATCAAGGTGGAAATATTGCTATCAAACCTCTCTCAACTCCAGATATTAGAAAAAGGCGAAAAACTTAATACGGCTGAAAAAAAAAGCAATTTGGATGCAAAAGGAGGAACAGTTAAACTCAACTGCTGAGCAGGACACAGTATACAATTAACCGCTGATGTCTTCTGGAACGGTTCTGCCTGCTGTTATAACTAATCCGCATTTATTATCACGGTTTTCAACCTATTTTCCTTTTAAACATATTACTACTACCTCTGAAGCAATCACTGTCGTTTTAATCCCATGTCAATTACAGTACTTGACCGTCCTGGTTATTTCTAGAGGCAGAACGTTCTTAGGCATAGGTACAGAAGGAATCCTTGGGGGAGTGTATTCCACAGTTCACAAGCCCGTGCAGTGAGCTCTGGACCTCTGAAGACAAGATGGGAGAGACACACACACAGTGTAGGGCGTCGGCGATTTTGCGTTCTACACGGACTGCAGTCGGGCTCCCTGAGGGCTGGGACCCAGGCGTTCCAGGACACCAGAGGTCAAAGCTCAGAGCTGAAGCCAGGGGGGCGGGGAAGCCCCGGGAACCTCGGCCGGTGTGAGGAGCCGAGTGTACAAATGGGTGAGAAAGGACATAGCGACTCGTAAAGACTCACAGTAATAGGCCACCACAGGGTCCCGCTTGTCGTGCTCTTGAGCTGTCCTCAGATGATGCTGTATGCTCTTAAACTGTGGGGGCAGCGGGGGCAGCTGAGCCAGCGCGGCCATCTCCACCACAGAAACCAGCACTTCCTGCTCGCTTGCCACAGAGACTTCCGCTTCCGTTGGGACGCCGCGCGCCAGAGCGCTCAGGGCAAGTCCTTCCCACTCCGTACGGGTTCGTGGAGTCAAGTCCACTACGGACGCCCACTAGGGGCAATCTTCATCTGTGCTTGACTCAGCGTTGTAACAATCCTGAAAGTGATAAACGCTCTGGCACTTGTGTTGCATGTGGCACCAACGCTCTCTGCTGGTTGGTGGAAGAAGAGTGATCTTTGTTTCGTTTCATTTTGTTTTGTTTCCTTTCGTTTCGTTTTTAAAAAATTTTTGCTTGTGACAGAGGGAAAGGCAAAAAATTAATGTTTAATGACAAGCATTTGGCATTATTCAGATTTTTCACCCCATGTCCCTTTTGATTTTAGAACCTTTAATTCTTACACGAGAAATTACGTGTTTAAATTTCAAATTAAGAACGTCTATACTGACACATTAGATAAAATAATCAGCATTTTTCTAACTTAAACACTAAACACATGAAGCTTAAAGAAAACTGAATGTTCTTATGTGGTTAGCATCTATTTTAGTAAATGAACAGGGTAGGGGTTGCTCATTACTGGACAGTGATTAACAATTTGCAACTTATTTTCAGTTTCATTACTTAACTTGAGGATAGGTGTATTGGAAACTTTATTCGTGGGCTATCAACTCGTACAATTTTATAGTAGGCATCAGCTTAACCTTCTAGGATTAATGATTTTAACGCTTTTTTCCTCTCCATCACAAAATATCCTTTTTACTTTGAATTTACACTTTATCCAATATTTCTAATAATCTTCATCTTTATTTTGTCTTAATCCCAGTTTTGAGGATTTATTTTAGAACTACTTTTCATTGAAATCCCATTATATTCAAGAACCCAAATCTTAAGCACTCAGGTTTCTCTTCGTGTTGCTAGTTTCTAATAACACTCATTTCCAACACCTAAAAACCTCACACTATGTCTGTTGTATCACATTCTGTATCCTTCAACTACACTTGTTTACACACAGTTAATCATCTTATCCTTTGCTTGGCTTTTTTACCCACCATGAAATTAAATTCTGTATTCTTCAAAAATCTCAGCAACACATTCACCACCATTTGAAACCTGTGGATTTCAGTGCTGTTAGCTCAGTGATGTTAGTGCTTGCCTGGGGAGGGTGAGGTTGTGAATTCAATCCCTGGTACCAACAAATAAACAAAAAGCAGAAACACTACCACTTGAGAGTGAATGCTTGCTTTATTTCTTATTCCTACTATCCTGACTTTCACTCATACTGGAGTGGCAGAGAAATTAAAGAAAAAGCAGACTGGGCTACTGTATATTTCTTCTTTCCATCCAAAAACTTCCATTTATTATTTTTTTGTTACTTCATGGTTCTCAACTGTGTCTGCCCATAAAGATTTACTCAGAGGTTTTTTTTTTTTAAAGGATCCTTGTCAGCAATTCTGATTTGTTTTGAGTTGAATATCAAATATCTTTTTTAAAACAAAGGTTTCCATAAAATTTTAGCAGTACATCTGGGGTTCAAGACCAACTTTCCCCACTTTCTTCAAGTGAAGCTGTCTTTCCCAGTTGTCTCTCAGCAAGTACACTTCTTGCTATTGCAAAAAAAGGCTAGCTGCTATGAATTGTTTCACTTTCTTCTGTCACAGCTCAAAGTCATATCTCACTAGTATTAGCTGAGCATCTACTGTATATTACACACATTCTTGGGTCTTACACTGATTAACTTAATGTCCACTACCATCTATGAAATTATTATAATCATTATTTTACAGATGAAGAAAACAGAACTCAGAGTATAGATAACTTGCACAAAATGACAGTAAGGATGCGTGACATTAAAATATGGTCATTTTGGTTTTAGAGCCTGTGGACCTAATCATCACTACTTGACAGTGATGTGTTTGTGGAACAACATACCCCTGTATTTTATCTTTTTTTTTTTTTTTTCTGTTCTATCATTCTGTTTCTGGAAAGCAAATGTTCCTCTTTCTGATGAAGGCTGCACCTTCCTGTTATTCACTTATTTCCAACCTCAGGTCTAGAGGTTGCCAGGCTTACTCATGTGCATACATTTGGAGTTAGGGACAGCTGCAGGGGGTGGTAAACAAGTAGGTGACACGGTTAGAAAAGGATTTTACTGCATCTACCAATACATGCTTCCTTCTTTCTAAGTGCTGTATGCCCTTCATGAGAAGATAATTGATATGACAGAGAGAAGTGCAGACACTATAGACATAGCATTACATTGAAATTATGCTGTAAAACAAAGTAAATATTAACAGTGGAGTAGGTTTGTCTTGTTTTACAGTGAAATTGTTGTCATGTTTTTTTATGAAGAAAAACCTAGACTCTTCCATCTTGCTCAGACCATTTTCTGAAGGATCTGATGTCATTCATCAGAACAATGATAGAATAGTGGCCAATGAGGAGTATACAAAGACACATAGCAAGACAGAGGGCGGGGATAACCATAGGGAGAAGGAAAGGGAGAGAAACTATGCCTAATGGGCGTTTGCATAAGAGAAGTTAAAAGTTTTGTACCATCTCCCTCTACTGTGCGTCTGTGTCATCTCAAAGTAATTTTCCGTTCCAATTTGATTGGAACTAATTTGTTAGTAAGTGACATGAAGTCAGATCAGTGTAATCAGGGTAATAAATATCAGTAGCTATATTTTTGGATATAATTTCTACCTGCATATGGTAGAAATTTGTCTTCTAGAATCACGAGACTCACAGCATCCCCTGAAATAGAGATGATTCTTCCTGAAAAATTCTTTTGAAAGAATAATAAAAGAAGCTGAAGACTTGTGCAGGTCTACTTACTGATCAATAGCTGTGCAGGTTGAAATTATAAAAGTTGCAGTTTATTTTTTAACATGGATATTTACTTGTCCTATCACTGTTGAAGTACATGAGAATATTAAAAATAATAAACTGTCCATGTGCAGAACTATTTCTGATCTCTTAACATTCCTGTTCAGTATGCCTAGCTTCATGCCAGCTCAATACTATGTTGATTATTTTTCCTTTAAAGAAGTCTTGAGAGTATATAGGATATGAAGTATAAATTTTTTTCAGTTTTATAAAAGCTATATTAGCTATTTGGTTCTTTTGTATTTCTATACAAATTTAAGGAATAGCTTTCCAATTTCTCCAACAGTCCTGGGATTATATTGAAATTAAGTTAACAAATCATTTTGGAGTTACTGATGGTAAATATGACTGAATCTTCAAACTATGGGCATTGTTGATTTATATCTAGATGGTCTCCTAAGACCTCATGCACTCATAGATGGAGTTTTTGGGAAGTCACTGAATGATGGATGTGTGGTATTCGTCACTGAATTAATCACTCATGGAGTTACAGTTGAATGTAATTTTGGGAGGGAAAGTCTGGTGGGAAGAGAAGGGTCACTGGGATGGTGGCCCGGAAGGGTACACATCCTTTGTCCTCTTTGCCTACCTTGACATGAATAAGCCTCCTCTGCCATGCCCCCGGCCTTGGAACCCACCAACTGCGGACTGAAAATGTCACAAACTGTACCACAAACAAACAGCCCCAAACTTTTCTTCTTTAAATTGTGAGTGTTGTGAGTGTGTTCCAGCAATAAGAAGGTAACTGAAACAGGCATTGTATGCTTTACTACTTCATAGTAATGCTTACTTGCAGCACTAATTCCTAACTTTTAGTGTACTTGTTCAGTACATATTTTATAAAATCTATGTTTATATGTTTCATGTTTTTGATTCTGTTGTTAATTATAGTTATTTAAAGTATAAATGAAAACAAAGCTTTTGTAAATAAGGAAGGGAAGAGAGATTGAAAGGAAGGTAGTGGAATGGGAAAAAAAGAATCTAGTAATATCATGTGCAGGTAAAAAGTTCCTATAATGAATGTTATCATTGTGTATACCTAAAATATACCAAAAACTTTAATTAAGTTTTAAAAGGTAAAATTCAATTTATAGTATTCTACATATATGTTAACTTTGATAATTTCATTAGAAATAGATTTTTGTAAATCCTTTAATTTTTCAATGGATATTATTGTGTATAAGAGTAAAAATGATGTTTGCTCTTTTCCGTTCTATGTATCGTTTTGTCCTTCATACACCTATTAAACATTTACTCAAGATATATACTTTATTTTTGTTTTTGTTCTATAGACCTTCAGTTCAATGTGTCACAGAACCAGTAAAAGTGGACAGTTTGTCTTTTTTTCCAGATTATAGGGAACATTGTTCATTTGTTCAATATTAAATTGTGTATTCCCTATAGATTTTCTTAGTTTGTTTTTATGACGTTTATGTAATTTTATTTTAGGTTAAAAGGTTTAGAATTTGTGTCATATCATAAGTGAGTTTTAAAATTAATCAAAAAGTGTTATATCTGCATTTATTAAGATAACTACCTGTTTTTCCCTCCATTATTCCTTGAATACAGTTCAATTGCATTAATTGATTTTCAAATGTTAAGATTCTTTCACTCTTGAAATAAACCACACTTGAACATGATGTAATAACCTATACATGGATAGCTGGATTGCATTTGTTAATGTATTTTTGCTGAGAATTATTCATTTCAAGGTAGTGCTGCCCTCACTAAAGGAAATGGTAAGTATTCCCTCCTGATTCCTAAAGTAAGAATTAGAGTATTCTTTCTTCCTTAAATATTGATTAAATTCATCAGAGAAGTCTTCTGGGCCTGAAGTTTTCTTCATGGAGAGGGTTTCAATTTTAAATGTTAATTATTTAATAGATTTAGGGATCTTCATATTTTGCTTATGTTAACTTTATGTTGAATCAATTTTTAGTAATATGTTTCAAAGAATTTTTCCATTTCACCTAAATATCAAGTTTATTGGTATCATATGTTAAAGTATATTTAGTTATTTTAATGTCCTAGCATGATGTCCCCTTTTTCACTTATTATATGGATAATTTTTATTTTTTATTTATTTATGTTTGGTACAAGATATTGAACTCAGGACTTCGTGCTTGTCAAGCAGTTGCTTGTGCTGCT